ATTTCTTTCTATAATGACACACTATAACTTCTTTTAACTAATGTGACTTACTAGCTTAGTCTTATTGTTTAAGATTGACAGGAAAGGGGAGGGAGAGGGGAAGACATGGAGCAAAGTGCTGCGGGTCAGACTTGAACCCATCTTGGTCTCTCTCAGCTATACGGCACGAGCTAAACCGGCACCCTTAAGTATTAACTTTTCTTTCTGCCAGCAATATACAGATTTTTACTTGTGCCTTTATATTTTATTTATGTTAACTTTAGACTAACAGTCAAGTAAAAATGTCTTAGTTAGACATCCAGGAAAACAAAACTTTGCAGATTAAATAGTAAGAATTAAGTGGGGAAGGAAAAAATATAAAGGACAGATAGACTGCAAAGTAAACAACGGCGACATCCTCTGCAGAAATAAACATTTAGAAATAAAAATGTTTGATAAAATGACGTTTATTGTCAAATTAATCACAAGTTCATTCAGTTCACCTTACCTGAGCTACTTTCAGGGGATATTTTCCTCTCAGATTCTCAGGAACATTGAGTGGAGGAATAGCCCAGTCCCTTTTCCTCCTCCTCAGCCCTCCACCAGACTTGGGAAATTGCAGAACGGGCACTTGTGGATCAGTGGTATCCTGGAAGAACATACAGACAGCTTTTTTAGCTAAAGCTTGGATAGAACACCACTAAGAACTTAATTAAACTACAAGGAGGAGCACAGATGTTCTCAGAATGAGTTTTAAAAATTTTTCAGACTATGATGGGTCTGTGTCTGTCCAGAGTTAATATCAGTTTCAACATCTCAGCCAGAAAGGCCAATGAGGCATTATCGTGTCCTACCAAGCAGGCAAGCAGGACATGTTGATACTCAAGTTTGTGAATCTGATAAATTCTATGTAGCCTCATGAGTTAAGTTGCCATCTGTTGTATCTACTTAAAATGTCAGAAACAGGCATTTTGCATGTATCGATTCCAAATGCTCCTTTCCTTCATGCCCCATTAAACAGTGTCTCTAAACCTACCTCTGTGTGGTTAATAGAGTCCACTTCAGTACTGTGATGCTGAATGTTGAAGTTTGTGTGGGCTCCATGGTGGTGCTTTCCACGGTGATGTCTATGGTGATGCTCAGGGTGAACGACACTGACTGGAACTGTCATTTTGTTACCTTGAGAGTCCCAGGAGTGGATGAAGAAGTTCCGGTGTCCTTTATGAAGAACAACCTCTCTTTTTACCTGGAAGGTAAAAATAAATAAATATATAAAAAAAACAAAACCTTTAGCAGAAATACAACATACGCTACATTCGTTAGACTAAGTCCTCACAAATCTGCACAGCTGTAGAATTTTATAAAATAAAGTTAATTCACTAAAAATGGAACAAAAGTGTTTTTTAACCATATTAGCATATTTTCTCACTATTCCCTGTACAAACCAGGGCACCCTGATGCATCTCAAAATCTATAGATAACTACATTTTCAATTGTGACAACTAGTTGTCAACTACATGGAGGCAGCTCTACTATGTAGATATAAATATTATAATTTCTTTAATAATTTTTACTTAAATTGACAGCAGTATTTTACTCATTGCC